TTTCATAAGAGTTGAAATGTTCCTCAGCAAGTGCGTGTGCCATCGACAGAAACAAGTGGTAGTCGGAAGGGGCACAGTCTGGTGAATAAGCCGCATGGGGTAGCACTTCTCAGCGAAGTGCTTCCAATGTTTCCTTGACAGCCTTAGTGACGTGAGGTTAAGCGTTGTAATGAAGCAAGATCACTTTATGCTGTCTTGTCTCATATTCTGGTCGTTTTTCGCGCAATGCTCGGCTCAAACGAATTATTTGTTGTTGGTAGAGATCCCCTGTGACTGTTTGACCAGGTTTCAGTATCTCATAATATACCACACCCTTCTGGTCCCACCAAATAGCTTTCTTACCATGAATATTGCGTTTTGGCGTCGATGTCGATGGTTGGCCTGGGTTGCAAATGGTTTTTCGGCGTTTGGGGTTATCGAAATAGATCCACTTTTCATCGCCAGTTACAATTCGATGCAAAAACCCCTTTCTTTTTTGCCTGGCAAGCAGCATTTCGGAGATGGTTTTTCGCCTTTCGATGTCTCTTTCTTTCAGTTCATATGGCACCCATTTTCCTTCCTTGTATGGCTTTTAAACGCTTGGAAATGGCTGCTTGAGTAACATCCAACGTTTCTGCAAGTTGATTTTGTGTTTGACATGGATCTTTATCCACCAATGCTTGCAGTTCTGTATCTTCGAATTTTTTTGTTGTCCTGGACGTTCTTTATCATTCGTATCAAAATTACCAAGTTTGAATTGTCGAAACCATTCCTTGCAAGTTGTTTCCGATAGAGCAAGTTCCCTATAAGCTTCAACAAGTATTCGATGAGATTCAGCAGCACTTTTCTTTAAATTGAAACAGAAAAGCAAAGCTTCGCGTAAATGATGCTTATTTCGTTGAAATTCAGACATTTTCTTTGCAGTAAAAAACTATGTTGTTGTCACAAACACAAACTTTTATATATTGAATATTGTTGACAGATGTCAAAACTATAAATGATGCCTTGTTCAGTCATTACAGTTGACGATTGTCAAAGTTACAGCTATTTATCGCTAGACGGCGGGTTTCAAGTTATAGATCTAATATAATGAACTTATATACAGATCCTAAGTATATGTACATACACAGTTAACATACGTGCTTATTTTACAATTTTACTTTTTTAATTTTATAATATATAATAATAATAATAACAATAATAATAATTATTATTATTCTATATAAAAAGTAAATAGCGCGCGGGGCAACACGCCCCAAAGTCTCATACGATTTGCAGTTAATTCGCACCTGAGCTCAAGCGTCTGACGTTGCCGCGAACAGTCTAGAAGCTATGAAATAGAAGGAGTAGGGATGATGGTAAGGAAAATCGGTCAAAATGTGCAAGCCAGTCGTAGGACTGGTGTAATTTATGCTGTATTCCCTTCAAATATCTTAATATGTTTCGCCATTTTTCAATAAATTTGTTTTGAATTCATACAAAAACGACTTAGTAAACTAGTCGTAAATGTTATGTCCGGCCGCGTCGCATTTGCTAAATAAACAACCCACAAGTTCTTTACATAATTTATCTATCATTTTGTTTTTATCGTTACATCTATATTTAGTTTTAAGAGCGTACTCAACGGATTATAATTCTCCATACTAAATCTTTTTAAAATATCTAGGACATATTTCTTTTGCGTTACTTTTATATCTCCGATATCGCCTCCCTTTCTATGTGCATACCTAGGATATTCTTAATATTACCCAAATCTCATTTTAAATTTGCGCTTTAACAAATCTTTTATTTTATTTAAATTCGTTAATTTTGCAGACGCTATCAACAAATCATCAACGTAAATTATTATTGCGGTATCACTGTTTTCCTTTAAATCAATATATTGTTGCGTCCTCCGGGTCGTTTCCACTGAGGCAGGCGCGGCATAATTTGCACTTGCAGAACTCGAGAATAAATAAGAAGACACTTTTTACAAAAACAAGAACTTTACTGAACTGAATTAATAAACTGAACAACCATGTTACAACCGTAATAAAATCAATAGGAGAACTGTCCAAACACGTCCGCACTGTTTGACAGCTGCTCCAAATCTGCTTGACTACCTTTGTTTATAAACAAATCTTTGGCATAGCAACCCTTGTTTACAAACAAACCCTTGATAAACTCGCGCGTTATGGAGACGATCTTCTGCTCCTGAAAGAACAGCGTTACATTGCGGAACAAGAAAATAGACAGTTTCACGAAGACAACTTTTCAAGGACGCAACACTGCTCCCCTTCTTCGAGATTGTCGCCCCGACAATCTTTCAAAATTTTTAACATCTTAATCCTTTTTCGATTTCAGGGTCCTGGATGAATCTTCTTGTTCTATCCTAAGCTGCTGTTATAGATTACTAGGCGATTCATTTCTTTAGACCCAATCGATTTGAATATTCTTTGCTTCCGTTACTCTTCATGATATGTCCTAATTTTCGGGGGGGTAACTACCGTGGACCCTTCGCCCCAAAAGGACTCTCCAAGTCCCTGCGTCGGCATTTGCCCTTCATTTCACGGAAAACCACGGATCAAAAACCGTGAGCGAGGCAGTCTTTATTTTCAAATTTATCTTGAAAATTTTATTTCCATTTCCAGTTTCCACTTTGTCGCAAAAGTCTCCACTTCTCATAATTCCTCTTTCTTTCCTTTCCTTTAATAAATTATTGGGTTGTTCAAAAAGTCATTGCGTTTTTTTCCAATAGATAGCGCTGTTCACGTTTATTTGTATCTGAGCGTGACATGAATGTCACATGTTTATGCGCATTTTGTTGTTGACACTTAACCTAAAAACCAAAAAAAGTTGACGCAATTCGGTCGAGTTTTGTGTTTGTAATTGTGGTTTAAACATGGAGAATTTTGAAGAGCATATTCGCCATATTTTGCTTTATTACTTTAAAAAAGGGAAGAAAGCAACTGAAGCATGGGAAGAGTTGCGTCAAGTTTACGGAAATGTCATCGAAAAACGTCAGTGCCAGAACTGGTTCGCCCGATTCCGTGGTGGTGATTTTTCAGTTAAAGACGCTCATCGCTCCGGTAGACCTTCTGAGATTGACGACGATAAAATCAAGGCATTGGTGCAAGCAAATAGGCATTCAACAGTTCGGGAGCTTGCTACCGCTCTAAAAATGTCCATTGGAAGTGTTCATGGTCATTTGAAATCGCTTGGTTTCATGAAGAAGCTCGATGTTTGGGTACCGCATGAGTTGAAAGAAATTCATCTGACGAAGCGTATGAACGTCTGCGATCAACTTACCAAACGCGAAAAAAACGATCCGTTCTTGAAGCGTATGATCACGGGCGACGAAAAATGGATTGTCTACAACAATGTGAACCGAAAAAGGAGTTGGAGTAGGCGAGATGAAGCACCGGAAAGGCGGACATCCACCAAAAGAAGGTGATGCTGTCAATCTGGTGGGATTGGAAGGGACCAGTCTTCTATGAGCTGCTTCCAAAGAATAAAACGATTAATTCCGATGTCTACTGTGAGCAGCTACAGAAATTAAGTGATGCCATCGCACAGAAACGTCCCGAGCTGATCAATCGTAAGGGTGTGGTGTTTCACCACGACAATGTGAGACCACACACAAGTTTGGTCACTCGGCAAAAATCGTTTCAGCTTGGTTGGGATGTGTTGCCACATCCACTATATAGCCCAGACTTTGCGCCATCAGACTTCCATTTATTTCGCTCTTTGCAAAACTCTTTGAATGGTAAAACGTTTGCTTCTGAAGACCTCATCAAACAGCACCTTGACAAGTTTCTCGCAGAGAAAGATAGGAAGTTTTATGAACGCGGTATTATGAAGTTGCCCGAGAGATGGCAAAAGGTCATCGAACAAAACGGCCAATATATTATTGATTAATGTTCATTACGTATATTAAATAAACACACCTGAAAATCAAATGAAAAAAACGCAATGACTTTTTGAACAACCCAATAGTATTTTCTGTAATAAATATTTTATTTTAATATATTAAAATATAAATGTATAAAAATATAACAAAAAATAATATTAAAATATTGCACAAAATATTCAAAAGAAAAATTAATAGATTTCTTAATTGAACACGGTGTTTTAGTGTCTATAATTTCGTGTGATACGTATGGTAATAATGTACATATTAATAAAAAAACATTAATACATCAATATAAAAAAATTAATATGTGTTTTCAAGCAGTGCTTGGGCCTGGTTCATCGCAGGATGATTCTGGTTGGTCTTCTGGCTGATATGTGGACATCGGAGGATACATTTCCGCGATAGTTTTGAAGAAAACTTCAATTCGTTCCAGCCGGCTATAGACGCGTTTGAACAGAAATTCGGACAAATATTCAATAAAATGTTCGGATTTTGTTCCAAACTTTGGAATATTTCCCCGAACTTCTCTCCAAACGCGTTCTATATGTTGAGTATGCGCACCTATAAATTTAAAAACATTATACAGTTTAACTTTTACTTGGCATTATACAGTTAAAATAGTAAAAATACATTAATTTTAAATACTTCTTACCGGTTTCAGGATCGACAAGGTTGTAAGAGTGATTGACTGTCAGATGTTGGAAGCCTTCATTGCTTAAACAATTATAAGACTTCCAACAATCTGACACAACTATTGTTCCTGGCATGATTCACTGTTTGATGCATGCCAGGAGCGTTTTCTCTGTCCAATCCTCCACTGGAACCATGAAGAATAAAGATCAGGAGGCCTTAATAGGCGAACTTAATAGGCGATGGCGTCAGATTATGAGCTCAAAAGTGGTCATCTGAATTAGTTCAAAATGCTAATCGAGATGTCGCTTGCGTTCCACGACACCGTCCTCACAGCATGGTTGCTCGTCTCAATTTTACAAAGTTTTAGGTTGAAATTGGTACAACACGATTGAACACGATAGAAACACGACAGAAGACAGAAATGACGCGTATATGTTCATTTCCCGGTTGTAAATCGGGAAATGCAAGTAATAAAAAAAATAATAAATTATATGGTAGGAAGAATAAAACAATGTTTAAGTTCCCAAGAACGGTTTGTATTTACAATATAAAATTTACTTGGATTAATTCACCTCAAGTATCTAATATTTCTATAACAATGCTCTAGGACAAATTTTCGTTTATTCGACAAATATGGGAAGAAGTTATCGGCCGTAAAGCAAAGGACAATGAAGTCCTTTGTGAGCTCCATTTCAGATCAGAAGACATACAAAGAAATTATGAAATATTTCTTTCTAACGGTGTAAAGCATACAATGGAACGTGGAAAAGTAACTTTAAAACCGACAGCAATTCCTCATGACAACGTGTGCAATGTAAACATTTTTTTTTGCAAAAAACCAATATAATATTGAGTGGTGCAGCATGTTAATTTATCTTTCAAGTATTTTTTTATTCTTTACATCTTTCGTTCTTGTGTATGTATACGCAAGCGTATATGTATATGTGAGGAGTTTTGCGATTCGAACGCCGTCTATCGAATACCACCAGTATTACTTCAGAAACCTGATTTTGGTCGCATTTCTGAAAGCCTAGTTCGGCCTCCTGATCTCTATTCTTCATGACTGGAACGATGAAGATTTTCTTCGTATCTCGCTCGTATCCTCCGAAAATCCACTGACCTTTGATCAATCGACCACGATTGTATTTTCGTCGTCCAAATTTTGCCTCGTCTATTTCTACTGTGCGTCCTGGACCACCAAGCTTTTCGCTGTGTTTCTCAGCTCAGAACACACAGACCTGTAATTAGAAATAAGATTATTTTATTTTACAATACTTAAAATATTTACAGATGTTTAATTATTAAAAAATATTATTTACTTCTCGGCAAAAATTGAACCAATCAACAATCGTGGCCGATAATACACCAGTTTCATCCTGCGTATCGTCTTGACGTGGGTGTCGCAGCATTAAAAAGCATGCAACAATTTTGCAAACGGTACTCACGTCAAGATTTGTTCTATTGAACCATGTACCAGATTTCGCACTTTTTGTAAAAATCGCACTGCTTGGAGACACGTTTTTTGTGTACATTCTGTACAACATATCGTTTTTTACACCTATACATCAATGCTTTTTTATTAATATTTATATCATTACCACACGTATCACACGAAATTGTAGACGCTAAAACACCATGTTCAATTAAGAAATCTACTAATTTCTCTTTTGAATATGTCAGGTAACCAAATTCTAATAAGCTTAGCATTGCTTGTGCACTGTTATTACGCTTTTGGTATAATATGCAATAACTAATGACATTTCTTTGTTCAAATTTAGCGCAGAGCAACACTTAGTTATTACTACGCATGCGCGCGTGACCGCAGCGCATTCCCATGTCGCTACGCTCAGTCGGAATGACAGGTTTCGTAATCTGAAAAGTCGTAAACTTTAACAATTAATATCTCGCTTCGCAGGGCAGAGCGACGATTTTTCTGCCAGACTTTCATTTTAGACCAAAACGCGTTGAATGAGTCTATTTTTATTAAAATCGGAGGTGAGGCAGCTATTCTAAATAATTACCATTGCTTTAACCAACGAGCTAATTGACCTTCTAATTCCCTAAAAGACATCAACCAACGAAGTGAGGACATGAGATCCGTACGGATCGAAAGGAGGATGTTAAATATAGGTCGATTTTAACCCATGGTGTGGAACCAAAACTACACATGGTTTCTTATAGATTTCATACCGTAGAATCACGTGGTAAAATTTGTTTTCCTCTAGACACCGGGGAAAGTACGGAAAAATTGAAAAAAGACCATGAAAAATGGAATTTTCCGAGCTGGTTGAAGCTTGAAACATTCCTGCAGCGATTTTAAAAAAATAATTTGTCGCTCTTGTCTTTTTGCAGGGAGCAAGTTCTGAGGCCCTCACATGACATACAAAAAAGACCGAGCCGATACATGCGTCAGAAGACACCCTTATACCCAAAAAACCACCCCCAAATCACTTAAACGATCTCGCCAAGCTAGAAATGATTTGTACGCTCTTTCTCCTTTTGCATAGAGAAAGTTTTGAGGCCCTCACATGACATACAAAAAGACCGAGCCGATACATGCGTCAGAAGACACCCTTATACCCAAAAACCACCCCCAAAATCACTTAAACGATTCTCGCCAAGCTAGAAATGATTTGTCGCTCTTCTCCTTTTGCATAGAGAAAGTTTTGAGGCCCTCACATGACATACAAAAAAGACCGATCCGATACATGCGTCGGAAGACACCCTTATATCCGAAAAACTACCTCCAAAATCACTTAAACAATTCTCGCCAAGCTAAAAATAATTTGTCGCTCTTCTCCTTTTGCATAGAGGAAGTTCTGAGGCCCTCACATGACATACAAAAAAGACCGATTTGATACATGTGTCGGAAGACATTCTTATACTCAAAAAACCACCCCAGAGTGCCTAAAAAATTCTCGCCTAGCAAAAAATAACTTGTCGCTCTTCTCCTTTGGCATACAGAAAGTTCTGAGGCCCTCATACGACATGCAAAAAAGCACGATCCGATACATGCATCGGAAGACACTTTTTTACCCGAAAAATCACCCCCAAAATCACTTAAACGATTCTTGCCAAGCTAAAGGTGTCTTCCGACGCATGTATCGGATCGGTTTCTTTTGCATGTCGTGTGAGGGCCTCGGAACTTTCTTAGTGCAGAAGGAAAAAAACGACAAATTATTTTTTGCTAGGCGAGAATTTTTTAAGCACTTTGGGGCGGTTTTTTGAGAATAAGGGTGTCTTCCGACACATGTATCGAATCGGTCTTTTTTGAATATCATGTGAGGGCCTCAAAACTTCCTCTCTGCAAAAGGAGAAAAGCGACAAATCATTTTTAGCTTGGCAAGAATCGTTTAAGTAATTTTGGGGGTGGTTTTTTCGAGTATAAAGGTATCTTCCGACGCATGTATCGGATCGGTCTTTTTTGTATGTTATGTGAGGGCCTCAGAACTTCCTCCCTGCAAAAGGACAAAAGCGACAAATTATTTTTTTTAAATCGCTGCAGGAATGTTCCAAGCTTCAACTAGCTCGGGAAATTCCATTTTTCATGGTCTTTTTTCAATTTTTCCATATTTTTCCTGGTGTCTAGAGGAAAACAAACTTTACCACGTAATTCTACGGTATGAAATCTATAAGAAACCATTTGTAGTTTTGGTTCCACACCATGGGCCAAAATTGACCTATATTTAACATCCTCCTTTCCTTCTATAAAGATAGTGATGAAAAGATTTCATTGATTCAACAATAGACAATAATTCTCGACGTGTAACACAATAATTTCTCTCAAATTTGCTTAAAACCCGACTAAAATAGGCAATTACTTTCTCATTGCCATCTTGAATTTGTGATAAAACTGCTCCTATTCCATGGTTTGAAGCATCAGTGTCAAGGATAAATTCCCCTTGCTCATTGGAAAAAGATAAAATCAGTGTTGAAACCATTTTTTGTTTTAATTTTTTAAAAGCTTCTTGACATGCTTGCGTCCAATCAAATTTGACTTGATTTTCGGTAAGCGAAAATAAGAATTTTGCTATCAAAAAAAATTCCTTTACAAACTTTCTATAATATGAGCAAAATTCTAAAAAGCTTCGCACTTGTTTTTTGGTTTGGGGAATTGGCCAAGTTTCTACAGCAGAAATTTTCTCAAGATCTGTTATTATACCCAATTCGGAAACAACATGACCTAAATATTTCAAATAATATAATAAAAGAGCATTAAGCCGTCGCAGGATGTGTGAAATTTTTAATTTTTCTTAAAGAAATTAATTAATTAGTTTACATGAGACAGTTAAATTGTACACCGATCTCAGATCGAGATACTTAAAGTGTACGAAAAGTTAAGTACATTGTTCTCACATATGGAGAATCATGATGTACTGATAGGAATTATTGGAAAGAAAGGAAAAGAGAGAAAAAATATCAGGACGCGAGTGGCTAAGCCGGGAATTAAATCCGGGTCTTCCGCTTGCCGGGCGAATGTTCTGACCACTAAACTACTCAGACCCCACACTTCTAACATTTATCTCTCCTAGATTAGGAAATAAACAATTCTGTGGGACATAAACGCGTCATAATGCGTGATTTAAACCAATTACACATATAATGGAAAAGCTCATATGATAACTATCAAATAATATAATAGAAGAGCATTAAGAGCCGTCGCAGGATGTTAGTGAGAAATTTCGCAGGATGTTAGTGCGAAAGATAATGCTCTTCTATTATATTATTTGATAATTATCATATAAGCCTTTCCATTATATGTGTTCTAAATATTTCACTTGCCTCCCTAAAAGAGAACATTTCTTTGGATTAATCTTTAAATTCGCTGAACGAAATTGAAGAAAAACTGATCTAGGATTAGCCATTATGTCTTCAAAAGTTTTACTAAACACAATTATATTATCTAGATATACCAAGCAAATTTTGGATAAAAATTCTCGAAGAACTTTTTCCATTAACCGTTCGAAAGTCGCTGGAGCGTTACATAAACCAAATGGCATAACCGTAAATTGCCAAGGACCATTTCCTATGGAAAACGCCGTTTTTTTTCTATCTTCAGAATGAACTTTTACCTGCCAATATCCACTCTTTAAATCTAAAGTAGAAAACCATGAATTTCCTGACAATTAATCCAATATATCTTCAATTCGCGGCAGTGGAAAAGAATCCTTAATTGTAACAGATTTAATTTCTTATAATCTACACAAAATCTTAAAAAACCATCCTTTTTCTTTACAATAACCACAGGAGAAACCCAAGGATTTGGGATTCTTCAATAACACCTTGTGATTACATGTCAAGAATGATTTGATCAACATCCTTTCTAAGGTGAATGACTTACTCTAAATTTCGGGATTTCTTTCCTCTTTGCCGAATCGATCCCGATCAATTCGACAAAACGGGAAAGTCCCAGTTGCGCACAGAATAAATCGGACACAGCAAGTTGAATGAATCGGACACAGTGTCAATCGGACACATAACAATCGGACACAGTAACAATCGGACACATTGAAAATGGACACAGTGCCAATCGGACACAGTAACAAATGGACACACGATGGTTGCTATCGGACACAGTGCCAATCGGACACAGTAACAAATGGACACACGATAATGGTAATCGGACACATAACAATCGGACACAATAAGAAACGGACACACTGTGATTGGAATCGGACACAATGGTAATCGGGCACAGTGGCAATCGGACACATTAAAAATCGGACACAATGCTGATCGGACACAATAGAAAACGGACACACGATGGTTGCAATTGGATACATGATAATCAAACACAACAGGAAACAGACACAC